TTACATGTTCATGCTTTTTTATTATTTTATTTTTTCAAATAAAATTAACTCTCTTCACCTGTAATTCAGATACAGTGTTTGAAAGGTAATGCTTCTTCATCATTTCTTATGTATCTGTTTCATTATTACTGATTTTTCCTGTTACTGCAAACTCTGCATGTATTTTCTTTCTGCTGAGTAAATTTTAGTAACAATTTATCTGTAATATGTTGGTGTTTTTAAAGGTTTCTGATCTGAACTTTATGTCTTCTGATTTATAACCCCCTTCACTGTCATTTAATACCTTATTTCTGTTTCTTTCATCTGACTTTTTTTAAGATAAGTTGCATTTAGGTATGAGTTAAAATCAAAAGCATAATATAAGATGATGCTTTAATTGGTTGAAAAAATGTTGTGAATAGAGGCATCCATGAACTTAACCCTGCAATTATGATAACTGACATATAATTAGCAGCAAAGAACTTATAAGCGCTAAGAACTTCTGTTCTTAATTTCAAAAGGGATCAAGAAAAATTGTATAAGATAATGATCAGAACAAAAATTTTAGCTTGTTTTCAGTTCAGAAAATTCATTCATTTCCCCCTTCTTCATTTTCTGAAGAGTTTTCTTGGCACAAAAGGGAGCTTTCAGCCAAGTTTGTGTGTGTGTGTGTGTGTGTGAGTGTGTGTGTGTATGTTCACATGAGTGTGTGCATGCATGCATGTATTCATGCATATGCATGTGTTTACATGAGTCGTTATAAGTTTAATATTAAACACATGCTTTCAATAAATGTGCATTTTACTTATATTTCTTTCTCTTAAAATTCACAGTGATCTTTCCATTTTTTTTTTTTCAGAAGAACTTCAGAAAAAATCAGGTAAATTGTCTCTAACATCCACTTCTTCCTGAAACACTTTTAAATAACTGCTTTCTTGATATCTTTCTATTCCATGCCTTTTTATAAATATGTCATCTTTTGGCTCACCCTGGATGTCTCCTGTTTCCACATGAATTTTGCATTATAAACTTTTTTCATATTAAATGCTATTCATTTTGTTTCCCTACCTTCATTCTTTCTATTCCTTCTTTTTAAATTTCATACCTGATCTTCCCCCATACACACTGGCCTCTTCTGTTTCTAGAAACTTGCAAAAGTTTCTCTATGAAATTTATGCAATGTAGGAACTTAGGCTGATAGGCACATGGTTTCTACACTATATATGTATTTCTTGAAAATACCCAAAATTTGGACATCTGTACTGTAAATCTGAAGGCCTATTACTATGAAATTGATACTTTCTCATACTTTAGGAGATGAGAGGAAGTCTCCAAACTTGCTGATTAAAGTTTCTTTCTATGTTCTTTCAACTACTGTGTGAATTCAGATATAATTCATTGGTCAAAATTCATTCTTCCACTACTATTGAACATATTACCCAAGAGTTTCCAGGTATATATTATTTTACTTAAATTTTCTTGGATTTTTAAACTTTTCAACCATAAAATTTTTCTTCAGCTTTTTCATTTTTATTATCAGATCAACAAACTGCAATTCCTTTCAAATACTTGTAGGAGGATTTTAATTTTAAGGAAAGTTTAAACATACTGTATCTCACAATTTGGAATTTTGTGTGTGAATCACATATGAAGCATGATTCCTGAGATATTTTCAAAAGATTTTTTAGTGAAACACTAATATAATTATCATAAGTTTTATAACCTCTTTTTCTAATGGCATTCTAATATACTTTTGTTTTTAGAGGTAATTGAATTAAATAATATGTCTCTTTAATGCATACAGTAGTTTTCATACACTTAAAGATAAACTGAGGCACAATATCATTTTCAAGGGTTTACCTGAGTAAGCATTGATTCAAATTGGGCAGCACCAAACTGAAAGTGGTTAAGCATGCTCTACCAAAAGAAACTAGGGGCAAGCTATTTATAGAGAAAATGATGCAGAAGCAAAGCAATTATTTTATTGGTGATAGCTTAAACTGTTGCCTTATTTATGAAAGCTTATTTGACTGTTTGTCATTGGCTGTTGTTAAGTTTTATTTTCTTGGATTGAAGGGCATTCACTCTGGCTTCCACTCGGTTCAGTCACTCAGTTGTGTCTGACTCTTTGTGACCCCATAAACTGCAGCACACAAGGCTTCCCTATCTATCACCAACTCCCAGAGCTTGCTCAAACTCATGTCCATCGAGTCAGTGATGCCATCCAACCATCTCATCATCTGTCATCCCCTTCTCCTCCTGTCTTCAATCTTGCCCAGCATCAGGGTCTTTTCTAATGTGTCACCTCTTCTCACCAGGTGGCCAAAGTATTTGAGCATCAGCTTCAGCATCAGTCCTTCCAATGAATATTCAGGACGGATTTCCTTTAGAATGGACTGGTTGGATCTCCTTGCAGTCCAAGGGGCTCTCAAGAGTCTTCTCCAACACCACAATTCAAAAGCATCATTTCTTTGGCGTTCAGCTTTTTTTATGGTTCAACTCTCACATCCACACATTATTTTTTTTTCCACACATGACTATTGGAAGAACCATAACTTTGACTAGACGGATCTTTGTAAGCAAAGTAATGTCTCTGCTTTTTAAGATACTGTCTAGGTTGGTCATAGCTTTTCTTCCAAGAAGCATGTACCTTTTAATTTCTTGGCTGCAGTTGACATCTGAAGTGATTTTGGAGCCCAAGAAAATAGTCAGTTTCCCCATCTATTTGCCATGAGGTGATGGGACTGAATGCCATGATCTTCTTTTTTTGCAAGTTGAGTTTTAAGCCAGTTTTTTCACTCTCCACTTTCACTTTCATCAAGAGCCTCTTTAGTTCCTCTTCAATTTCTGCCATAAGAGTAGTGTCATTTACATATCTGAGGTTATTGATGTTTCTCCCAGCAATCTTGATTCCAGTTTATGCTTTATCCAGCCCAGCATTTTGCATGATGTACTCTGTATATAAGTTAAAGAGGCAGGATGACAATATACAGGCTTGATGAACTCCTTTCCCAATTTGGAACCAATCCATTGTTCCATTCCGGTTCTAACAGTTGCTTTTTGACCTGCATATAGTTTCTCAGGAGGCAGATAACGTTGTCTGGTATTCCAATCTCTTGAAGAATTTTCCAAAGTTTGTTGTGATCCACACAGTCAAAATCTTTGGCGCAGTCAATAAAGCAGTAGATATTTTTCTGGAATTCTCTTGCTTTTTCTATGATCCAGTGGATGATGGCAATTTGATCTCTGGTTCCTCTGCCTTTTCTAAATCCAGCTTGAACATCTGGAAGTTCTTAGTTCACATATTGGTAAAGCCTTGCTCGGAGAATTTTGAGAATTACTTTGCTAGTGTGTGAGATGAGTGCAATTGTATGGTAGTTTGAACATCCTTTGGCATTGCCTTTCTTTGGGATTGGAATGAAAACTGACCTTTTCCAGTCTTCTGGCCCCTGTTGAGTTTTCAAATTTACTGACATGTTGAGTGCAGCACTTTAATAGCACCGTCTTTTAGAATTTGAAATAGCTCAGCTGCAATTCCATCACCTCCACTAGCTTTGTTCATAGTGATGCTTCCTAAGGCCCACTTGACTTCAAACTCCAGGATGTCTGGCTCTAGGTGAGTGATCACACCATCGTGGTCATCTGGGTCATTAAGATCTTTTTTGTATAATTCTGTGTATTCTTGCCACCTCTCCTTAATCTCCTCTGCTTCTGTTAGTTCCATACCATCTCTGGCTTAGGTTTTGCTTATATAAGCTGCCAAAACATTAAAGCCATTTCACTCTAATGGACTGTGTTTAAATATTTAGCACATATGATTATTGCTGCAGGTACAGTTTTGGTTAGATGAGTGCTTTTACCATGCAATTCCCTATCATTTTTTGAGCACCTGTCTAGTGTATATGTGCATATTTGCATTTTTTTCTTGTTCCTACATCTGGAACATATACCTCTGCTGCTTCATCTTATCTGAAGTTCTGTTTGTGTTTTTATGTATGTTAGAGTTGGACACAACTGAGCAACTAACATATACACATGCAGAGGTTAGCTACATTTCTCAACCTTGGAGAAGTGACCCTTTGTAGGGGATGTCTTAGGTGTCCCAGTAGTGCACTCCCCTCACACCACTCAAGGGTCAGGGATCAGCTGGTCCCAAGGTAGGGTCTGATCTGGTTTGTTGTTGTTTTTTTTTTAATTTTTTATTTAATGGAAGAAAATTGCTTTACAAGGTTTTGTTGGTTTCTGCCATACAACAATGCTAATAAGCCATAACTACACATATATCACCTATCTCTTGAGCCTCCTTCCCTCCCCCATCTCATCCCTCTAGGTCATCACAGAGCATCAGGCTGGGCTCCCTGTGTTGCACAGCAACTTCTCACCAGCTATCTATTTTACAAATTTGTTGTTCAGTTTCTCAGTTGTGTCCAACTCTTTGCAACTCCATGAATGGCAGACTCATCAGGCTTCCCTGTCCTTCACTATCTCCCAGAGTTTGCTCAAACTTATGTCCATTGAGTCAGTGATACCATCCAACCATTTCATCTTCTGTTGCCCCCTTCTCCTCTGCCCTCAAACTTTCCCAGCATCAGGGTCCTTTCCCAGACTCGGCTCTTCACATGGTAATGTATATTGCAGGCTCAGTTCCACTGACTGTGGGACTGTGGTTTTCTTGCTTCTGCCATCTGCTGCCTGGTAGATGAGTCTGGTCTAGAGGTTTGTGTAGGCTTTCTGGCAGGAGGGGCCAATGCCTGACCACTGATGAGTGGAGCTAGGTCCTGGCCCTCTAGTGGGCAGGGCCAGGTCAAGGGGTGTGTCTAGAGGTGGCTCTGAGCTTAAGAAATCTTTGGACAGCCTGTCTGCTGATTGGTGGGGCTGTGTTTCCCCCATTTGGTTGTTTGGCCTGAAGCATCCCAGCACTGGCTCCTACCAATTGTTGGGTGGGGCCAGAACTTGGTGTTAATGACCTAAGCAAGATGTCAGCCTCCAGTGAGAGTTCATGCAGATGAATACTCCCCAAAATGTCCACCACTGTGTCTATTCCCCAAGGTAAGCTACAGCTGTGCCCCTCTTATGTTCCCAGGAGACTTCCAAGACCAGCAGGTAAGTCTGGCCCAGGCTCCTATGAAGTTACTGCTTTGGCCGTCAATACGAGTACATATGAGATTTTGTGCACACCCTTTAAGAGTGAAGCCTCTTTTTCCCCAGTCCTGTGGAACCCCTGCAATTTAAGCCCCACTGGCCTTCAAAGTCAAATAATTTGGGGGCTCCTCTTCCTGACACCAAACCCCCAGGTTGCAGAGATATGGGATTCAGAACTCTTACTCTTGTGGGAAAACCTGTGCAATACAATCATTCTCTAGTTTTTGGGTCAACCCCTCAGGGGATTTTGGACTTGATTATATCACAAGTGTGCCCCTCCTACCATCTCACCGTGATTTCTTCTTTGTGTCTTTAGTTATAGAATATCTGTTTAGTAGGTCCCAGTCCCTTTTATTGATGGTTGTTTAGCAGATAGTTGTGGTTTTGGTGTGCTCATAAGAGGAGGTGAGCAAGGTTTTTCTACTCCACTATCTTGTAAGAAATCTTCCTGCATTTTTTTCTTAAAAATGTGACTGTTCAATTGAAGATGAATGATTGATATCATTTATCCCAGACACATCTTACGGTATCTCCTCTCAGGTTTTGTTTCCTGTCTTAGTACCTTCTTCTGTGTAAGGGGTGGGGGTCGTGTAAAACACTATTGCCATTTATTGGCCTTTGAGATGGGCTTTGAATCCTATAGTTTCAACTTGTAAGAGATATGAGTCATTTTGAAAACTATGGATGTGTTTCAAATTTTTGTCCTTTTCCTTCCTGATTCATAGTGACTTGCTTTTTTTTTCTCATTTATTTTTATTAGTTGGAGGCTAATTACTTTACAATATTGTAGTGGTTTTTTTCATACATTGACATGAATCAGCCATGGATTTACATGTATTCACCATCCCGATCTGCCCTCCCACCCCCCTCTCCACCCGATCCCTCTGGGTCTTCCCAGTGCACCAGCCCTGAGCACTTGTCTCATGCATCCAACCTGGGCTGGTGATCTGTTTCACCCTAGATAATATACATGTTTTGATGCTGTTCTCTCAAAACATCCCACCCTCGCCTTCTCCCACAGAGTCCAAAAGTCTCTTCTGTACATCTGTGTATCTTTTTCTGTTTTGCATATAGGACTTGCTTTTAAAATGAATTGGTTCTTTATTTTTTTATTTTCTGCTGAGTATGGACAATGAAAGGGTTAATCCTATTTATGTAGTTTACTCTGTTATCTAGTCATTATGTCATCTCTTGTTGTTCAGATGCTAAGTCATATCTGATTCCTTGTGACTTCATGGACTATAGCATGCCAGTCTCCCCTATCTTCCACTATCACCTTGAGTTTGCTCAAATTATGTGCAATGAGTTAATGATGCTATCCAACCATCTCATCCTCTGTCATCCCCTTCTCCTTTTGCCTCCAACCTTTCCCAGCATCACGGACTTTTCCAATGAGTCAGCTCTTTGCATCAGGTGACTGAAGTATTGGAGCTTCAGCTTCAGCATCAGTCCTTCCAGTGAATATTCAGGATTGATTTCCTTTAGGATTGACTGGTTTGATCTCCTTGCTCTTATTTCTTCAACTATCAATGAACATTTTCTGCAATTCCAATCCACATATTCTTTAAATGAATTTTTCTGATGATCCTATGATTCTAACTGAAGTTTTGCATCTTCATTTGTTATTCAGTTTTCACCATTATCATTTGCATAATTTATCCTGCCATTCCAATCTATGTATACAGATCTTTTCTGTAAAATAAATTTTTATTAATAATATACTTTAGAAGTTTATGGTATTTTTTAGAAAACTGTTGTGCTACCTTTATCCAAGATAAGCTCAGGTGATATTATTAGAGCCCACTTCACCTGCCTTTTAATATTTTATTTCCCTTCCTTTCATTTCATTGTATAGAAATTATAAGATTTTCTTCACTGGAATTGTATAACAATATCCCCATTTTTCCCATGAGGGAAATTGGGTTAGAAGGCATAAAAATTCAGGAAGGTTATTATTTGAGAGACATGAATGAGTGTCAATAGATGGTTAAGTCTAGAGAATATAGGAATGATGGGAAAAGGAGGAAGCCGTGGAATTAGCATCACCAAAGAGGTTTCTTCAAAGAATGTAGGAAAAGCACATATGTACTTTTATATCATCATTGTTGTTTAGTCGCTAAGTTGTGTCCCACTGTTTTGCAACTACATGGACTGTAGCCCACCAGGCTCTTCTGTCCATAGAATTCTCCAGGGAAGAATACTGAATGAGGTTGCATTTTCTTCTTCAGGGAGAGAATCTCCTGCAGCAGATTCTTTACTACTGAGCTACCAGGGAAGCCCTGTACTTTTATATAGATATTATATAAAAGCTTAAAACTTATAACATGCAAGAATGCCCAAGATACTTTTTACAACACATGAATTCTAGACAAGAGCTTATCCCTTGAAATGTATATGTAGGTTTTTTAAAGGACTTCAATAAAACCTGAAAGTGAAGTGAAAGTGTTATTCACTCAGTCATGTCTCACTCTTTATGACCCCATGGACTGTAGCCCACCATGCTTCTCTGTCCATGGAATTCTCCAGGCAACAATGCTGGAATGGGTAGCCATTCCCATCTCCAGGGAATCTTCCCCACCCAGGGATCAAACCTGAGTCTTCCTCATTGCATGCAATTCTTTATCATCTGAGCCACCAGGGAAATCCCATAAAGCCTAGAGTCACATTATAAGAATAAGATTAAAAATAAACTGCTTAAAGAATGATCTTCTAACATTTTTCTCATGGAATACTAGCATTACTTTATCTCCATTAACTCATATTTTATTATAAGTCCCTTCAAATACATGAATATAAAATAAACATTAATTTATTTCATTAATTTTCTGCTTACTTATAAAATATTTATGTGCTGATAAATAGTGTACTTATATGTAAGTTAATAGGAATGGAAGTTTCATTAGGGTCCTAACTTCAATTCTTTGAACTTCTTCTGAGTTACATGATAAAATTGATAGTGTGAGTTTATCAAATCTAATTCTAAAAGTTATCTCAACTGAAAACTCAATTAAATTTCATTGCACTATTATTCAATGTAAATAGAAACCATCAGACTTCAGAAAATATTGTCAGTTCAGTTCAGTTGCTCAGTTGTGTCAGACTTTATGACCACATGGACTGCAGCACGCCAGGCTTCCCTGTCCATCACCAACTCCCACAGCTTGCTCAAGCTCATGTCCATCGAGTCGGTGATACAATCCAACCATCTCATCCTCTGTCATCTCCTTCTCCTCCTGCCTTCAACCTTACCCAGCATCAGGATCTTTTCCGAAGAGTCAGTTCTTCCCATCAGGTGGCCAAAGTATTGGAGTTTCAGCTTCAGCATCAGTCCTTCCAATGAATATTCAGGACTGATTTCCTTTAGGATGGACTGGTTTGATCTCCTTGCAGTCCAGGGGACTCTCGAGAGTCTTCTCCATCACCACAGTTCTAAAGCATCAATTCTTCGGCACTCAGTTTTCTTTATAGTCCAACTCTCACATCCACATATGACTATTGGAAAAACCATAGCTTTGACTAGTCATACCTTTGTTGGCAAATTAATGTCTCTGCTTCTTAACATGTTATCTAGGTTGGTCATAACTTTTCTTCCAAAGAGCAAGCAAGCAGCTTTTAATTTCATGGCTGCAGTCACCAAAGAATGTACTCAGACATTGTAGTCATTTGCTTCCTTAATAGCTATGACATTTTCTAAAAAGATACTCTCAGGACTTAGTGTTTGTTGACAATTCACACAAATTGTTTCACTTAAAGACAACTGCTTTAATCTGACATAGAAAGACTTGCAAAACTGAAAATCAGTTTCAAAATGCTACTATTAAGATAACATTTGTTATGGAATTATTTTATTCTTTTATTAATATGTATTTTGTCCAAATCTTCAATTATGAATGTCCTTAATACTGTTCATAAAATATGTATGTATAGGATAAAATCCTAGTTAGTCTTTCTGTCCTAATCATCATCGTTCTTCTTTATTTATTCAACTGGGGAAATTCACTTCCTTTTCTCAGTATTTGAAGATAAAACTGTGCTTCCTTGGCTGTTTTTTTTTTTTTTTCAGTTTTTGTTTGTTTGTTTCTAATCACATTCATCCTTCCAGTTTACTATGCAATGGAAATTTTCTACTCATTTTCATTTTCTATATTGGTTTCTCTTGATATTTACATGAGATTTCCATTTTATTTTTCAGAAGATCTTCAGAAAGAAATTGGTAACTTTTTTCTGACATTCTTTTTTGCCGATATATTTCTTTGAAAAAAAATTTCCCATCACTTCCTGTCTCATTACCTCTTACTCACTCCTGTCTTGCCTTTTTCTTCTTGTGGATTTCAAATTACCCTATCTTTTTTTTTTTTTTTTTAGCTTCCTGAACTCATTCCATGTTAAGTTCCCTTTTCATTCTCTCAGCTTTTGTTCACTTCCTTTCCTTTCTATGCTTTATTTTTAGGCTTCTTCTATTAATATAGTCCAGGTGATTGCTGGAATTTTACAGTAATTCATTTTACAGTAGTTAGTTTTACAGTTGGTGAGATAAAGGAAATTAAGCTAAGAATGATGACAGAAAGTGTCTTTTAATTTGGGTTCTTCAACATGTGCTCTGATATGGAGTGCCCATTGTTTTATACATGATATTGTGCTTACTTTTATGGGGAAAGTTAAAACTCCAAAGTAGCTGAGTGAGATAAATTCCTTTTTTTGTTTGACCTGTATATTATGCTATGTACATTGATGTCAAGTTAATCTTGAGATTTCCTAGTTCATTTCTCTTGACTATATTCTCAAGTGATTTAAGGTGTATAAATATTTTTTGCATGACTTTGCCTGATTTTTTTCCAACCATAATTATTGTTCTTTAATCTTTATTTTCACCTTTTCATTAATACTTCAAGGTCTTTATACATACATTTTTTTTCACTCAAATAAACTTCATTGTAAACCTAAAATCTAGGGTTATTTTCCAAGTTATTCCTACACTAATTTGGTACTATATCATAGGAATTATTAAACTCTCATGTCCCTACATATCAAATTATATTCTTCAAATTGTAGGAAGATTTTCAGATGCAGTAGGCTTCAGAGATTTCTTTAGTTGCTTTTAAAATGGACATTACTTGGTCAACTTTCAGACACTACTAGCGTTGCCACATGTATGTGCACATGTATAACTTTACTTGAATTTTTTTTATGACGTTAAGAAAACATTTTTTTAATTAATTAGTTAACATTATATATGTGTATATATACCTGTTTGTTTTCTCTCAGATAGGAGGAAGGCTCAGTTCAAATTAGGTGAGTAAAGCTTATTTCCCAGAAACCTTTATTCCTCTAAATCTCAGATTCTTCTGCTGTAGAAGTTGAATAGGATTTAGAAATGCAACAAAAATGCTTATAGTAGGCAAAAAGCATTTGAAGAGTTATCTTGCTAAATTCTAGTAATTTCAATTAATTATTTTCAAAAGACAAACCACCAGTGATTCAGCATGTTCTTCCTTCTCTCCCCTTCCTTCCTTAATTTATTTCATGTCCTCTCCTTCCCACTTCTCCTTCATCCCTCCCACTCTTTATTGCTTCTATGTTTCTATCTACCCTCCATGTGATCATTTTTATCACTGTGTTTTCTAAAAATGGAATATGAGAATATAGAATCAAAAGAGGAAGTACAAAGAATTCAGAAGAAAATTTATGACAAAGACAAGGAGAAATGAAAAAGACAATGAGAAAAAAAAATGGAAGAAAAAAAAGTAAAATTTCCTATTTTGGTTTTTGCAGGCTGGAGGGAGTCAACATTATACCCTGGTGAGTGACATGGATTCTGATAAAAAACTGTCCTATTGCAAAATATATTTTAAATGAATACCTACTGCATGCAAAACAATACAATAAAAATTAAAGAAACTACAAAATATGCATTTTATGAACTCAATATATTACTCAGTATTTTAAAAGATAATAATGTATTTAAAGTATTAAATTTTAGCAATTTGACCATTATTATTTTCTATTTGATTTTTAAATAATTGAGTCATAGTTCAGTTCAGTTCAGTTCAGTCGCTCAGTCATGTCCGACTATTTGTGACCCCATGAACCGCAGCACGCCAGGCCTCCCTGTCCATCACCAACTCCCAGAGGCCACCCAAACCATGTCCATAAAGTCGATGATGCCATCCAACCATCTCATCCTCTGTCGTCCACTTCTCCTCCTGTCCCCAATCTTTCCCAGCATCAGGGTCTTTTCAAATGAGTCAGCTCTTCGCATCAGGTGGCCAAAGTATTGGAGTTTCAGCGTCAACATCAATCCTTCCAATGAACACTGAGGACTGATCTTTAGGATGGACTGGTTGGATCTCCTCACAGTCCAAGGGACTCTCAAGAGTCTTCTCCAACCCCACAATTCAAAAGCATCAATTCTTCGGTGCACAGCTTTCTTTATAGTCCAACTCTCACATCCATACATTACCACTGGAAAAACCATAGCCTTGACTAGATGGACCTTTATTGGCAAAGTAATGTCTCTGCTTTTTAATATGCTATCTAGGTTGGTCATAACTTCCCTTCCAAGAAGTAAGCGTCTTTTAATTTCATGGCTGCAATCACCATCTGCAGTGATTTTGGAGCCCCCCAAAATAAAGTCAGCCGCTGTTTCCACTGTTTCCCCATCTACCTGCCATGAAGTGATGGGACTGGATGTCATGATCTTATTTTCTGAGTGTTGAGCTTTAAGCCAACTTTTTCACTCTCCTCTTTCACTTTCATCAAGAGGTTCTTTAGTTCTTCACTTTCTACAAGGCATAGTTGGCTTACAATATTACATTAGTTTCAGGTGTACAACATAGTGACTTCAAAATTTTGTAGGCTATACTCCATTTAAGTTATTATAAAAATTGGCTATATTCCCCATGGAAGAAAGAAAGGGACGTCACTCATTCATGTCCAACTCTTTGTTACCCAGTGGACTGTAGCCTAGCAGGCTCCTTCATCCATGGGATTCTCCAGGCAAGAGTACTGGAGTGGATTGTCACTTCCTTCCCCAGGAGATCTTCCCAACCCAGAGAAGCATATTCCCCATGCTGTACATTATATCCTTTAGATTTATTTATTTTATACATAGTAGTTTGTACCTCTGAAACCATAATACTGTTCCTCCCTTCTTTCCTCTCCCCATTGATAATTACATTTGCTCTCTATATCTGTAAGTCTGTTTCTGTTTTGTTACATTCACTATTTTATTTTTTAGATTCCACATATAAGTGATAACATACTCTGTCTTCCTCTGTATTACTTATTTCATTAATAGTAATACCTTCCAGGCCCATCCATATTGTTGCAAATGTCAAAATTTCATGTATGTGTTTATATATACAAAGACACACAAAGGAACAGTTTTCAGTATGTGTGTATATATATACATACATACATACAAAGGAACAATATTTAGTCATTTGTAGTATATATATATATATATACACTAAATATATAAATATATATATATACTAAATATATAAATAAATACTATATATATATATATATATACATATATATATATAAATTCAAGTGTAGTGAACAATTGGGTGCATGTACCTTTTCAAATTTGTGTTTTTAATTTTCTTTGGTTATATACCCAGGTGTGGAATTGCTGGATCATATGGCAGTTCTATTTTTAGTGTTTTGAGGAGCCTTTATACTATTTTCCCCTAGTTTACATCCATCAACCATTTACAGTGTTTCCTTTTCTCCACATCCTAGCCAACATCTATTTTTGTTTTATTATTTTTTACTTGACATCTCAGATCATGCTTTGAGGATAAGTAAAAGATTATCACCTATAAAGTCTGAGGAAACTACAACAAAAAGAATTTACTTGGTCAGACATATCATAATCTCTATTTCTTTTCCAACATCTTAAATAGATTATGGACACTTATCCTATGGGAATGTTGGTTGAAGAAATCAGTTCTTTTAGCCAGACATAATTTAACAGACTGAAAAGAGGTGCAAGTATATCAAAGAATATTTTCTTTGGATATTATCACTCATAAATTAATCCTTGAGAATTTATACTCATAATCTGAGCAGATGGATGTATTTATCTATCAGATGGGGCTTCTCACATTCATATGTTCCTTGCAGATTGGAGGAAAGAAGAGTTTCAAGCTGGTGAGTATGATGGTCCAGGAGGGGCCCCGCTCCTTGTGGGGTAAGAAAGGAAGACAGGTGAAGATGACTTGGATCTTCCCAGGGCCAGAAAAGTTCTCACAGAATGGGGACCCTCTGGCCCAGGCCTACTGAGACTCTTTCCATAAACATGATAGTCTAATTGTTTTTGCAGTAAATATGACTCTTGATGAAGCCACTGCTCATCCCAGCCTCCTCCTGACTGAAGAGAGGAGAGGAGTAACCTTGCAAGAAATACAGCAAGATCTACCCAGCTCCACACAGAGATTTGTCTCTGTTCCCTGTGTGCTGGGTCAACCACAAATCTGTGCGGGGAGATACTACTGGGAGGTGGAAGTTGGGGACCTGCATTCCTGGGACCTGGGAGTTTGTAGGGATAATGTATCAAGGAAGGGGACTTTCCAAATGTCCCCACAGAATGGTTTCTGGGTCATTAGACTCTACCAGGAGGATTACTGGGCCCTTACCATCTCAGAAACTCATCTTACTCTAAGAGAAAAACCCCTTAGTGTGGGGATATTCCTGGATTATGAGGCTGGAGATGTATCTTTCTATAATATGACAGATGAATCCCACATTTTCACATTTTCCAAACAGACATTTTATGGTGTCCTAAGACCACTTTTCAGACTTTGGTCCCCTGACTCTGGCCCCTTGACCATTGTCCAGGTGGAGTAGAACACACTGATGTTGTAATTCATGTGCCTACACCTCCATAAGAAATTACTGCATTGGGCCCAAGTGATCATTATAATTCTCCCCACTGGCCACAAATTGATTTTTTTCCCCTCCTGCATACTGGTTCAATCTCAAGGTGAAGTTCTGTGAGACTAATTGATTGTTGCCTCTCATGTCATTTCTTTCTTTTTCCTTAATCATAAACTCCTACTATTACTATGCCTGTGACAACCTAATATAAAGATTAAATTTCCTAGACTACCAGCTGAATATCACTAAATGATGACCAGTGCCTTATAAGATTAATTATTCTGTATAATTTCTGGGATGTTTCTTTAAAGGAAAACTGTGTGCTTTTCTTATTCTGTTTACTTTTTATGACGCCTGAAATCTATAATTAATGAAACATCTCTGACCATGTAAAAGTCATGGATAGCAGACAAGATACAGTGGCTTAGGTTTTTGATAACTTGTGGAAATACTTTATTACTCAGTTCCTAAATTATCTTCAGTGAGAAATAAACTGTTATCTCTCTAAGCTTTTTATACTTTGAATGTTTGTCATTTATAATTGAATTCAATCCTAGCTAGTATACCCTCCCTTTAAGGATGGCAACAGATGACACCCACAGTTGAAAATTTAAGTGAAATAGTAGGCATAAAGTCCTGTACTTAATTTCTTAGCAACTCCTACTCCTCCATTGTATGAGTCAAGTTAGGGTCTCCCAATTTCTCCTGACTCATCAGACCCTCCTGACTTCACTTCCTACTCTTCCCTATTTAAATGCCATGATTAACAATTTTAGGGATTCTTTTACTAATAAGTGAAAATTCCTGATCTCATTGTCCTTTTTCACATTTGCTTGGAAAGAAATCCCAAAATGAATGAATCTATTATTCATTTCTTATACTGGAGAAATGTTCATATAGTTGACACAGATGAGTAGAATGGTTCCTCTATAGTAACCATTGTGTTACATTGTGTAGTAACCTATCACAACTTGGGCAGTAGCACTGTTGGTAGCAATCCTCTATCTGGCAATCTTCCCATATGTCTCCAGTCATTTACATTCCCTTGCCTTTGCAGTCAATTTCATTAAAAATTCCACTTTTTAAAAGTTCTAATTCTACTCCCACCTAATTCTCAATATAAGACTGCATTTCCGTTTTGAAAGAATAGTAATGATAATAACAAATAGAATCAATCAGAAGGGAATTGCCCCATCTTTGTAATGACAAATATAGCAAACTTATCTAAATCTCCCAACTCCGCAATACTCCTCCCTCACTGTTACATTAAGAGAAATATCCCTCTTCCTTTACAGAACACCAACCTATTTCTTCTCTGTACCCATCTTTCCATCCTGTGTCTTACATGGTACTGGGGTCCATCAATTATTCCTCTCAGTGTTCCTACTAGTTTTTCTACCATAAACTTAAAAATTTTTAATCTTGTCCATCTTAAAATCAAAACAATGCAATTTTCCATCAACTCTACATCTTCTTATTAACTCTTTTGACTCTCTTCATAATCAAACTTCTCATAATACTTATCTAAAGTCTCTATTTATATTTCCCTTGTTTTTATTTCCTTCTTAGTATATTCTATGATATGTAAAGCCTCACCTCTAGTAACTCACGATGTGACCTTATTTGGAAATAGGGTCATTGTAGATATAGTTAGTTAAGATGGCATAGAACAGGTCCCTCAATCAACATAACTGTTGTCTTTATGAAAAGGAAAAATTTGGACATAAACATGCACAGAAAGAACAGCTTTTGAAGATTGGAGCTTGCTGTCACAAGGCAAGGAACGTCCAAAGCTGCTGGCAAACCACCCAAAGTTTAAAAATAAAGGCTTGGAACCAATCCTTTCCTAGCACCTTCAGAGGAAGCATCACCATGCCAACATCTTGAACTCAGATTTCTGGCCTCCACAATGCTATTACAATAACTTCCAACGTTTAAGCTACTCAGCTTGTGGTATTTTGTTGCGGTATAGTAACAGGTATAGCAAACAAATACAATTCTCTTTTGTTAGATACAACCTGCTCATTTCCTTTCTTTAATAAAGTAATCCCAAAGTAAACCCTTTGCTATGGAAATTCCAAGGGATTTCTACATTTACATAAATTTCATGTCATGATTGAAAATCAAAATAGAGAAAATGTACTTTAAGTAAAGTAAGAACTCTGAAACTCTTATAAATCCATACAAGGTACGTAATTCTGTGATGATTCTTAGAAAAATGTTTGTTGAGATGTTATTTGCATACAATACATTCATTCAACTGTTCATTCATTTAAAAAATCAACTCAATACTTTTTAACATATTTACATGGCTGGGCAATCATTACTGATCCAATCGTAAAGGATTCCACCTCCCCAAAAGACCTCTTACTTTCGTTTTTAAATAATCATTGTTCCCAGGCCCAGGAATCTCTAGTCTATTTTCTCTATATATAGATTTTCCTTTTCTGTATATATACAGTTGCAATCATATAATATATGGTCTTTTATGTCTGGCTTCTTTCACTTAGCATAATATCTTAGACACACACTTTTGCATATTTCAGTGGTTTGTTTATTTTTGATAGAATTCCATTGTATGGACATACCACATTATGTTTATTCATCCTCCAATCTAAAGGCATTAGAATGCTAACATTGTGAAATCTTATAAACAATGGATATTAGGTGAGTGAGGGGGCTGACTGAGGACTACTCTTTCAAAGAAACATTGATTGTAAAAAGTAGAAAGAAATCAGTTCAGGTCAGCTTAGTCTCTCAGTCGTGTCAGACTCTTTGTGACCCTGAGGACTGCAGCACGCCAGGCTTCTCAGTCCATCACTAACACCTGGAGCTTGCTCAAACTCATATCCATCAAGTCGGTGATGCCATCCAACCATCTCGTCCTCTGTTGTCCTCTTCTGCCTTCAATCTTTCCCAGCATCAGGGTCTTTTCCAATGAGTCAGTTCTTCACATCAGTTGGCCAAAGTATTGGAGTTTCAGCTTCAGCATCAGTCTTTCCAAAGAATATTCAGGACTGATTTCCTTTAGGACGGACTGGTTTGATATTCTTGCAGTTCAAGGGACTCTCAAGAGTCTTATCCAACACCACAGTTCAAAAGCATCACTTCTTTGGCACTCAGCCTTCTTTATGGTCAAACTCTCACATCCTTACATGACTATGGGAAAACCACATCTTTGACTAAACAGACCTTCATCAGCAAAGTACTGTCTCTGTTTTTTAATACATGTCTAGGTTGGTCAAAGCTTTTCTCCCAGGGAACAAGCGATTTTAATTTCATGGCTGCAGTCACCATCTGCAGTGAATTTGGAGCCCAAAAAATAAAGTCTGTCACTGTTTCCATTGTTTCAACATTTATTTGCAATAAAGTGATGGGACCAGATGCCATGTAGTTTTCTGAGTGTTGAATTTTAAGTCAGCTTCTTCACTCTACTCTTTCACTTTCATCAAGGGGCTCTTTGGTTCCTCTTCACTTTCTGCCATAAGGGGGGTGTCATCTGAATATCTGAAGTTATTGATGTTTCTCCCAGCAATCTTGATTCCAGCTTGTGCTTCATCCAGCCCAACATTTTAAATGATGTACTCTGCATATAAGTTAAATAAACAGGGTGACAATATACAGCCTTGATGAACTCTTTTCCCAGTTTTTAACCAGTCCATTGTTCCATATCCGGTTCTAATTGTTGCCTCTTGAGCTGCATACAGATTTCTCAGGAGGCAGATAACATGATCTGGTATTCCAACCTCTTGAAGAATTTTTCAGTTTGTTGTGATCCACACAAAGTCTTTGGAGTAGTCAGGAAGCAGAAGTAGATGGTTCCCCGAATTGTCTTGCTTTTTCAATGATCCAGTGGATGTTGGATATTTGATCTCTGGTTCCTCTGCCTTTTCCAACTCTTCTTGAATATCTGGAAGCTCTTGGTTCATATAGTGTTGAAATCTTGCTTGGAGAATTTGAGCTTTACTTTGCTAGTGTGAAATGAACACAATGGTGTGGTAATTTGAGCATTCTTTGGCATTGCTTTTCTTTGGGATTGGAATGAAAACTNTCTATCAAATCTAGTCCCTTGAATCTCTTTGTCACTTCCATGGTATAGTCATAAGAGATTTGATTTAGGTCATACCTGAATGATCTAATGGTTTTCCCTACTTTTTTCAATTTAAGTCTGAATTTTCCAATAGGGAGATCATGATCTGATGCTATAGTCAGCTCCTGGTCTTGTTTTTGCTGACTGTATACAGCTTCTCTATCTTCAGCTGCAAAGAATATAATCAATCCGATTTTGGTATTGACTATCTGGTGATCTCCATGTGTAGAGTCATCTCTTGTGTTGTTGGAAGAGGGAGTTTGCTATGACCAGTGTGTTCTCTTGGCAAAATTATGTTAGCCTTTGCTCTGTTTCATTTAGTGCTTCAAGGCCAAACTTTGCTGTTACTCCAGGTGTTTGTTGACTTCCTACTTTTGCATCCCAGTCCCCTACAAAGAAAATGACATCTTATTATGGTGTTAGCTCTAGAAGGTGTTAGTTCCAAAATTCTGGTGTTAGTTCCAAAACTGCAACTCGCTGTTGAACAACCTTCAGCAGGAGAATGTTGGATCCCACCAAAAAAAAGATACCTTACATCCAAAGGCAAAGAAAAAGCCCCAACAAAATGGTAGGAGGGGCGAAATCATCTTTAGAATCAAACCCCATACCCACCAGAGACACTCAGAGGGCTCAAATAAATAAATAAATAAATAAACAACTTTGTGGGCACCAGGACCCAGAGACCCCACAGAGATTGAGTCAAAGCTGCCTTGAGTGTTGAGTGTCTCCTGCAGAGGTGTGAGTCAGCAGTGGCCTGCCACAGGGACAGGGGCTCTGGCTGCAGCAGACCTGGGACACACAGCTTGTGGCATAAGCCTTCTTGGAGGAGATCTCCATTAGCCCCACCATAGAGCCACCAAGCAGATGATCCACAAACTGAAGAACACTGTTAAGAAAGTTCTAGGACCCACAACAGATTTTCCAACCTGCGGATCTGGAAAAGGGACTGAGAACCCCCAGGAATTTGACTTTGGAGGCCAGTGGGATTTGATTACAGACCTTCCACAGGACTGGGGAAAGAGACTCTTGCAGGGCACAAGCCAAACCCTGTGCACACTAGGACCCAGAAGAAAGTAGTGTCCCCACAAGAGACTGAGCCAGACTTGCCTATGAGTGTCCAGGAGTCTCCAGTGGAGGCGTGTGTCAACAGTGGCCTGCTGGGGGCCTCTGGGGCACTGAACAAATCCTTTTGAAGGAGGTCACCATTACCACCATTAACCCTGCTATAGTTTGGCCTCAGGCCAAACAAAAGAGAGGGAACACAGCCCCATCAACAGAAAATTGGATTAAAGATTTACTAAGCATGGCCCCATCCATCAGAACAAGACCCAGATTCCCCCACAGTCAGTCTCTCCCATCAGGAAGTTTCCACAAGTCTCTTATCCTTATTCATCAGGAGGCAGACAGA